GAGTTTTTCTGGCTGCCAATCCAGCTCTGAGACTGAGGGGTCTTAATGTAATTGCAGCTATCATGTACTCGTGAAACAGATTGATGGGTTTTTATGTGTGCCATTCTCTCTTTTGTTCCCTTAGATTGGTCCTTATCGGCTCGTCTAGTATTCTTCACTTCAATGTTCCCATCACCCTGGAAGAAGATGGAAAATATTGGGATATCTTCAAAAATTGTAGATTTAGATAAATAAATGCCAATGTATTTGGGTATTCACAGACAGCATATGTTACACATTAATCCCTGAATCTTGGCATTAGTATAGGTATGGTATGGTAGTGGTATAAATACCTTGTGTTCAGTTTGGAAAACCTTTGGCTTCTCCCTTTCCTCTTCCTCTGAATGTCCAAAAAGAAAATATTCGGAAGATGGAGAACAGCTTCTCTGGCTTTGAGTCTCAGAGAAACTAGTCAAAGAGGACCAAGGTGGGCTAGGTGAAGATTGGGATGATAGGTCACACGTCACCAGTTTATAGTAATGCTGAGTGGAACCTGCTAACCGTGCCTGACTCTTCAGACACATAGTGAGGTCAGAAATTTCCATTGATGGGAAGCCATCAGAGTTGAATGGGTAGATGTTGCAGTTTGGATCAATGCTGTGAGATGACCAGCTGGGCAAAGGGTTTGAGCTGTCCTGCAACACTATACCAGATCCAGGACTATCTAGATTTAGTGGAGTTGCAGGAACTTCGTTGTTGGTTTTGTGGTAGATGGCACTGAAGTTAACTAGTACTCCATCTGAGCTGTTACAGGAAGAGTCAGTGATATAGTCTGTTTGGTTTTGAGTAATGGATTCGATAAGGTTTTCCGTTGGAGCCCAGCTATTATCAGGTTCCTCGAGAGTATGGTTACTGAAGTCTTCCTCATCACCCCAATCCTGTTCATCACAGTCCATTAATACAGGGGTTACTCTGCTATCCCTGCAATCCCCGCAACCTGTATCAAACTCCCTCTCTTGTTCTTTGTTTTCTTTAACTTGGCTAAAAGGATTCATATTACTTTGAGTAACATTTCCTTGTAGTTGAAGGGATGACCCCTCATGGTACTTGTGCAAGTTGTCTCCATCCGAGTTCTCATCCTCTTCATCCTCATTCACTTCTGATTCAGGGATGAAAAGGTTTTGCCATTTGGGAGTACCGCTGCAAAGCGATGGCTCTTTTTTCAGTTGAGGACTGGTCAATGGAGAGTTCTCTGATAGAACACGAAGCGTTGGGGATGATTCATATCCTCTAGAATTTTCAGTCCTCTTTTTGTCCTCTGTTTCTGTTGAACTTAACTTGCTTGTGTGGCTTAGACTGCCATAGTAAAGTGTTTCCCTCGGCAGATCTCCCCTCTCAGGCAGGGATATACTGTGGGTTAAATTCAAAGTGCGTGGCTGTTTGGATGTCTGTACAGAGTTATATAGGTGCCACCCAACAGACTGGCCATGGATGTGGCACACGATCAGAGTTTCTCCTGACTTTGGGGAGACATCCATTTTCTAAGCACCAGCACTTCAAAGCATCAGTTCTTGCATGGCAGGCTGATTAAGTGGCATAAACATGTGAATGCAAAACTCAGCAGAATCTCTTGTAACCTCATATGTCCACATTTTTGCTGCTTTCAAGCCAGAATCTAAAGGACAAAATAGGCATTCAGGGGATTATCTATAATAATGCTTTCATATAAATCATGACTCAATACTTTTTCAACCTTAAATTCACCTTTCAGTACAAACCAATAAATCAAACAATCACAATTACAATATTAACCAGATACAGAATAAACCAGATATGGCAATAGATTAACCCAAACCTAAAAATATAACATTTTAGACAAAAAAGCAACAACAAAAGCATGTTTGCTGTTGTATCTCTGTGTGGAGTTTCTATTGAATTCAGTTGTTTTTATACTGAGCTAAATATATTAACTACCACATAAACCTAATCTATTTACATGAGGATATAGCATAGACTTCTCGTTTTGTAATTATAAATCATTACTGACTAACCCTTTTGCGATTTAAAAACAGCATTATTTAACTTTTATGTATGAGTCATTTTTCCAAATGAGGACATGTCAGAATGTCCCAAAAATAAAGTTAATAAAAAAGTGTCATATTTTGCTAACTTCTGAAGATACCCTTTTTTCCCAAACAACAGCTAAAAGTTGAACAAACAGTTTGTAATTTTAATAAAGTAAATTCTTTCAATGCTTTCCCCCCCCCAAATTCCAGCCCTAAAATTCTATGTTTAGTAAAAAGTAAATTAGGATTCTGTGGTCAGGCTGTTAACGTGGGCAACTGCAACAACTCACCCAGCCGTAAACCTCCATCAATCCGAGAGCCAGCACATAGTCACTCTCATTCTGTCTGCACAGTAACTGGAGCAAACACACCGCATGATCACAACCTAATGCTCTACATCCACTCAGCAGAGGCTAAACACAGGAAAATAAAAATGAAAAGATAGGAAACAGGCAACTTCCCTCTTGTAGTTCCTCTTTAGTCACACTTCTTTCTGCTCTGCACTCCTCACAGCTCATCTGTTCCTCACACATTCCCTCCTCCCCTAGTACAGTGGTTCTAAGCCCCACAGTCCTATAGCAACAGCATCACAGACCCCACTGAGCATGCTCAGTGGTTTGTTGTTGAGGGATCATATTTGAGGGGATGGCAGATTTGCCTCTGATTTCAACAAAGGGGTGGGAATGAAGACTGACTTGTACTAAAAAGAAGACTTGGAACAGAAAATTGAGACAATGAGAAGCTAATGTTTCAAAATTAAGCAGATCTCTGGCATAGAAAAGATGATGGTAGAAAGCCTATTTTTAGAAAGGTTTACAGGAATAGTTCACCTTCATGTTGGTCCAAACCCCTATGACTTTTCATTCCGTGGAACTCAAAGACGTTTTGAAGACTTTGCTGGTTGCTCTTTTCCATGCAATTTACAATGGGAACTGGAGTTTACAAGCCTCAAAAGGGACACAAAAGAATGATAAAAGTAGTCCTTATGACTCATTATATTCCAAAGGCACTATAATCCAAATATTCTAAAGAACTTTAAGGAGCCAATTATTTACTAAAAATGTTCATTTCCATTGATCTGTTAACTGCCACAAATGGAATTATCATTTATGAATCACAAATCATTTAGACTGGTTTTGTGAACTGGATCAAATTTTCTGATTAAATGATTGGTTCACCCAAACCAATTACATGAAGGAACTGTTCAGCATTATACAGTGGGGAAAAAAAGTATTTAATCAGCCACCAATTGTGCAAGTTCTCCCACTTAAAATGATGAGAGAGGCCTGTAATTTTCATCATAGGTATACCTCAACTATGAGAGACAAAATGAAAAAAAAAAAAATCCAGAAAATCACATTGTAGGATTTTTAAAGAATTTATTTGCAAATTATGGTGGAAAATAAGTATTTGGTCAATAACAAAATTTCATCTCAATACTTTGTTATATACCCTTAAAAAAAAAAAGAGGGGAAAGAGGCAAGTTTGTCTACCACAATAATTAACTGTTTTTGGTTGTCATCATCCCCCAGATGTCACTCTAATAACAATTTGAGAGACTCTTGCCTTTGATGACGCACGGATATGGATAATAACACTAACATCTGCTGTAGGCACTGCTGGGAAAGGTGGCTAAATCCTTTAGCCTGACTGCCTCTTTCTCTCAATTCAACAATGCATTTGGGAACAGCTCATAATTTGTATCCACCATTCACACGGTAAACAACAACAATCTCATCAGATTATATATCAAAAAGCTCACTGGCTTTACTGGTAATCTACTGACCTAAATAGTAGAAATAGTTAGTAGAACTAGAAGATGACTCAAAATATTTGTATGCCATCGTTTCTAATCAACTAAGAACAACTGTAGGATAGCTTATACTGAATGATGCATATGTGAAAATTTATGTCACATGATTAAATAAAATTGTACTATAAACAGTACTTTAACCCTTGTTTACTGGGAAGTATAATAACTAACTCTACAGTAAATATAGTTGTCTGCATGTAATGATTTGCATGTAATGCTTTTGTAAAATCGAAGAGTATGGATCATTCAGAGCTTCATTAGGACAAGTGGCCTGTCACTCAAACATCCTGTACATTTTCATCAAGGTCATCCAGTGCAGTCAAGCAGAAAACAATGACAAACTGGAGCACTCCATCACTCCATCAACCTTGTAGTCATTTTGTTTCGATATGGACATGAAGGCAACATAATGATAATTGGAGAACTGGGCTCAAAGTCTTAAAAGCATACTGGAAGAAAGCTCAAAACTATGAAACATTATTATTAAGGACAGGCGTACAAAGTGTTCTTACAGATGCCGTTTCCAAAAGAGACACTATGTTGTTCTTGTAAATGTTTTCCTCATAAGATTACTTTATGCTTATTTATTTGCTTCCACTTTATATTAGGTGTCTTTCACTGCTATGTACCGTATGTCACAAAAAAAATAAATAATAATAATTGTTTAGTACAATGTACTTGTCGTGTTCAAGTTGTATAGCTGACTTTGAGGTGGAATATGTGTACGGTTAGGGACAGGTTTTGTGATATGGTTAGGTTTAAGGGTAGGGGTAGAATTATAGTTATATTATATTATAGTATAATTATAGATATAACTACAGAAATGAAGATGTAATTACATGCCGTTTTTTATATAAGTACAATGTACTGTAAAAATGTACAATGTACACAATAAGTACATTATATCAAATGATTCATTTAAATGTTATTACATAGTAGTTAAAGACACTTATTATAGTTAACTAAAAAAAATTGATTAATGAATTTGAATTATTTGATTAAAATGGTTTGTTCCACAAATGCATTGAGCTGAGTGCTGAACATGTATTACCACAAATACTAATAAAATAGATTTAATCTGATTGATGATACATATAGAAATTAGACAAATACAATAAAAATGCATTAAGATTTTTGTAGTTTTTATGTTTATTGTATTTATGGCACATTTGCATCTTTGTACAAAACATGATAAAGTAGGATGTCATATCAAAGGAGTTTGGTTACCATTTCAAACATTCATTGATAAAAAAAAAACATCTATGAAACTGTCATAAACAATTAAAAGCACATGAAATCTGCTTGTTTGAAGCTCTTCTTGAATAATCTCTAGGCCTCTTTTTATGTGGATAGATTATGTCCCCTGGTCTTAATACATGAGAACCATATGGGTGATTGATTGTCAAGTGTTTCTGTGTACATAGGTGTTGTTATTATAACATTAAGAAACATATACATATAACATGATATTCAGCCACTAATCACAGCTAAAACCAGCTTCTTACTGATTCAAAGCTTCACGGCTTCACTTCACAATCTCACTTACTCCTATGTGATATATTTGAAGCCCCTCTAAGAATATCTCTCCTTTATTATTTAATACCATTGCCGAAAGGTGAAATCAAGCTTGACGGTAAGTCATCACAAGTGAATAAACAAAATAAGGACCTTTAGGGACTCTGAGCCTCCTCGAAGATGGTTCGATATGTCCGAGGTGTGCTGTCAGCCACTGGCGTGTCAGTGTGGGGGAAAAGAGCCGGTCTGGTCTTAACTGGAATTCGCAGGAAGCGTCCAGAGGTGACAAGGTCTCCATAGCCACGAGCATGAGAGAAGGCATAACCAGATCGTCTTGTACTGATTCGTCGTCGAGGGAATTTGCGAGGAGGTGGTAAAGGCACAGCTTTGGCCTGTCTGACCTTATGACGCACCTGTAGAGCAGAAGAACAAAAAGAAAATATGCAGTATACTGAAAGGAAAGAATATCATTAATATTGAAAAAACAGGAAGAAGGAACAAGCATAAGGCTCAAAATTGTAGTCATTTTGTCTATGAATGACTCCTGCTCATGAGATTGTGACACCACTGATTGTGGATTCCAGAAATAACCTTGACATTATGTCTCAGCATGATGCTGTGCTGCAGCCGTGCCACTGCATCCCACAGCTCTGACTCATTCGACACATGCGTTCGACTCATTAAAGGAGGAAGATCTCACATTGTCATCCTGTCGAGGACTGGCACATTGCCTGAGAGAGAGTTTGAACGCAGTTTTGGAGCAGAACTACTATAAATAGTAAACATGTAGTACAAGATGCCTGTGATGCCAGAAAAACTCCATCATACAATATTCTTCTCTTGGGTTCATATGTTGCAGCGTTGTAGTGGAGACCAGCTCATACAAGTCCAAGTCAAGCGTCGTGTCGGAGTCAAGCATGAATCAAGGACAAGATCAAGATCCACGAAAATATGGTCTCAGACTCTGTCTCAAATACTACAACACTGATATATTGCATTTTGAATCAATTGAGGTGACACCAAAACTTGAAACCACCTTGTCATTGATAGCTGGCTTGAGTTGTATGAAGAGGAACCGTTTTGCCACCACAGGCAATATGCACAATATGGTGGTCAGGAAGATGGTCAGCCACATGTTCGGCTGGTTCAGGGAGTTTCTTGCAGTGCCTGAGAAAGATTGAGTCATTTGAAGCTGCTTAAAACACACAAACAGCAGGATGAGTGGATGTGGTTGTGATGGACGGACACTCACCGATGAAAGGAAAAGAGGATGTGAAGATCAAGTACATGCCGTTGCTGTACATGGTGAAGGTGACGGCAAAATACACCGACAGACTGCCCCACAGGAAGAACTGATTCACTGCTGTCCAATAGTATGTGTCCAAACCCAGCTTAAACACACAGAAACATTTGTATTGTATGCATGAGGACATGTAATCTACCATTCAAAATTTTGGGGTCAATTTTTTTTATTCTGTTATTCAGCAAGGACACATTAAATTGATTAAAAGTGACAATTATAATGTTACAAAAGATATGTATTTAAAATAAACGCTGTTCTTTGAACTTTCACTTCATCCAAAATCTTGGACAAATGTATCACGGTTGGGTTTCACAAAAATATAAACAAGCACAACTGATTTCAACATTGATATTAATTATAAGAAAAATGTTTCTTAGATATATTAGACTAATTTCTGAAGGATCATGTGACACTGGGGACTGGAGTAATGGTGCTGAAAATTCAGCTTTGCATCACAGGAATAAATTACATTTTAAAGTATATTCAAATAGAAAACAGCTCATTTAAGTTGTAATAACATTTCACACTTTTACAGGTTATTGTTTACTATTTTTCATCAAATAAATGCAGCCTTGGTGAACAATAGAGATTTCTTTCAAAAACATTAAACAACCTTATAGACCCCAAACTTTTGAACGTTACAGTATACAGTACAGAGATCTCAAAAATGGATTCTTAAGCCACAATATAAAAAATTTAAATGTTCAATAATTTTGGGGTCACTATTCAGTATGTGTCCAATATGAATTGACTGAACAAATGCATTGCTAAAATCTAAAGTATAGAGATTACACATTTTTTGATTTGATGTAAATATGGTAATTCTCAATGACTGTTGTGCATTTTGTTTGTGTGTGTGTGTGTGTGTGTGTGTGTGTGTGTGTACTGTTGAATGAGAGTTTACCTGCACACTGACGGCAATGAGCAGGCAGGTCTGCGCTAGCAGGGCAAAGGATTGATAATCTGCGATGTCTTTGCCGTCATCTCTGACGGTGTCACACATGGCTGCCCAAGGGACGAAGAAGAGGATGAGTGAGCTGTAGCAGCTGTGCATCAGGATCCTCGCGAAGGCCATCTTACTGAAATACTGGTTCAGCTGACCCGGAGCATACAGCTGGGGGTACTGGAAACTCCAGCGGTCATTTACATCCTGCACATGCACATATTTTCATGAATGAACTTAGTTCAATGATGCTGAGTGTTGCATGCTAATCCAGGGGTGTGGTAATTGATATATGACATACTTGATCAAAGAGACTGAGGCCAATAACAGGTAAAGCCGTATATACCAGGTTGTAGAGCGTAATGAACCACTCATCATACACAGTCTACGAAGAGAGCAGAAAACACAAAAATTTAGCAATGTAATTTGTATGCTAAAACATTCTGAAAGTTCATGAAAATTTTATAGTTCACATTTTCACTCAAATTGTTTTGCTGATCATACACTTTTAATTGAAAAACTTAATTTAAATCGGAATTAATTCTTGAAAAAATATACAATATATAAAAAATACAAATATTACACAAAAAAATGGTGTAAAAAAACAATTTTCACAATTGCTAGTAAATTTGTACAAATAATTACAAAGAATCTGAAAGTGACATTGAATTAAACACAATTTTGCAGTAGAAAAACTACAATGTAGTAAATTCTTGTAAAACATACTTATTATATAATAATGTAATAATTATTTTATTTACAACTTCAAAAATATTTTTAGTGTATGCATAATTTTATAAATATGTACCATTTAATATCTAATTTATAATTATTTTAAAAACAAATTAATTAAAAAAATAAATATAAAATAAAATTTCTAATATGCATATTTAAAATAAATAGTAATAATGTAATTTAAGATATTAAGAAAATTGTAAAATATCAGCGTTTCACTTAGACTGTACTGTACATAATTTCATGATATCAAATATAGTACACATAATTTCTGAATTGAAATTAATTAAACTCAGTATTCAATTAAAATATATATATATATATAAAAAAAAAGGAAATAACGTGTATGTTGAGTGTACATTTCAGCAAAGTTTTCTCAAAATGACCAAACATCATCTGATTAACCGGCCTGGTCCATCACTAAACAGTAAACCAAATTCTTGTGATATGATTGAAAAACATTCCATCTCACCTGTGCAGAGAAGCCGCAGAAGAAGCCGTACCAGAAATGGACGAAGGTGAAGGTGAAGTTCTTGTAAAAAAAGTAGCGCAGAAACTTACACATGCGCAGATAGGACCAGCGGCCATGTACCAACAGGAGCCGCTGGAGGTAACGGAACTGAGCGAAGGAGAAGTCACTGGAGAGAACCGCCTGCATGCCCTCCTGCCCACTAATGCCAACGCCGATATGTGCAGCTATAGAGGTCATGAACAGTTGAAAGATTGGATATATTTTTAAACAGACAAGTTTGGTAAGCATTATTAGCACACTAGTCTTAAGTTAATACATGTAATGTTTATATTGTAAAGTTCCCAGTTTGACACTGACTCATTGTTTCTTAAAAGTGCATCTTAATTATATCATCTTAATCATGGCCTCTCTCTTTTTGTGAAACACTCACTTTTGATCATGCTGACGTCATTGGCTCCATCTCCAATAGCTAAAGTCACAGCTTTCTTGTGCTTCTTGACAAGTTCCACCACTTGAGCTTTCTGGAGAGGGGTGACCCTGCAACAGATGACCGTTTGGCACATACATGCAGTCCTCAAGAGCTCCAACTGCATGTCCTTCTGCAGAGCAAATGCCTGGGCACAAAGTATTGGGAGATACAAGGATTTAAACCATTTTCTACTAATCAACTGTGTATTATTGAAGAAGATGAGAAATGGGTCCTCTTTTCGATTAATAAAACAATGTTAGATTTCTCTTACCAGACTGTGGCCATTAATTACCAGTCCGTACTCTCCATCGACCTTCTCATGGATGGTCCCATTGGTCTTTGGGACTGAGAACTCGACGTCCATTTTTCCCAGAAACAAGTAGAAATGTGTCTTTTTGACTATCTGAGATGAGCTCGGGCCCAGAGCACCCAGCGTCATCACTGCACAGAATTGATGTATAGCTTTATCCTAGAGTAACAGAGATTCACATTGCATTTCTTGATGCAGCGGCATACTGTGTTAAGTGACAGCAGTTTTCTGAAGTACTTCTGAACCCATGTGGCTATATTTAACACCGCAGCACGATGCAATGCCATCTAAGAGCTCAAAGGTCAAGCACATTCAACTGCGGTTTTCCTGCCTTGCCCTACACAGACTAAGATCATATTATCTTTTCATATCATTACATGTGGTGAAAGACCTAAATTCTTTTTGACTTTGCATTGAGAAATGAGAAATGTGATTTTTGATTTGTTTGACACTTCTCTCATGAAATTTGGCGCAAAGTGATGCCATGATCCAGCTTTGCTCGCAAAGACTGACATGCTCCTTTTATACCTGAACATGAAACCCTCACCTATTACAATTCACCTGCTTACTGTGAACTTCAGAAAAAGTTTCAAAATAGTATAATTTGGATATTCTATAACCTGTTCACTTTTATTTTGCCTCTGCCCCAGCTTTTTTGTAGTGTGTTGCAGCCACCAAAATCTAAATGTGTTTATATTTACAAAATACAGTCAGTGAAAACTTTGGAAATCTTTTCTTTGTACTTTTGTCAATTTAATAAAAGCTAAAGAGAATGAACAAATCACAGATTCTTGATTTCACTGCATTTTACAAAATGTCCCAACTTTTCTGGAATTAGGGTTGTACATTGAAAGAGGAACATCTAGAGAAGCAAACACTCTAGCAGAACTTCAGCATTCTGTGTGATGGTGACGTTACCAGCAAATCTTTCTCGATCTCTTCATAAATTGCATCCAGTTTTGCCTCGCGGTCCTCCAGCGAGGTGCTGGCCTCATGGTGGCGTTTTTTCCATTTCTCAAACTTGTCTTCATCTAAGTCTTTATAAGCCAAAGCCAGTGTCCTCAGACCCTCTCCAGCATATTCCTGGGATTGTGTTAGACATGAGTAACTCGCACACTCACACAATGTTATGGAAACACAAATGTAACTCACATTAAGGTGTTCTGTGGTGACCTCCATGAGTTTGGAGGACAATGGATGCAGCCTCTCGAAAATAATTGTGTCAGCTCCCTTACAGTACAGTGTCAGTTTGCCCTCTGGATTACGAACTGAAGAAACACACATTTACTTAACTTTGTATTGTTGTATTTCTGAATGTTTCCCTGCTTATTTCTGAAGGGTAACACATCATGCTCTCACCAATAACAGACATCCTCTTGCGGACATTGTTGAAGTCCAGCACTGCTAGAAGCTCATAGGTGGTGGGAACTCCCATCTCCACCAGAGAGATGGTCTCTGGGGTACGAGAACGAAATACGAAGCCGAAATTCCTTGCTGCAGTGACCAGAGCCCCCTCGTCTGGAGACTGAGCCTGGTAAAATAGCTCTCCTGTGGAGAAACAAAAATATATTGAAGAAAGAAATATGGCTGATTTCTGAAAATTAATAGTTGTATTTTGGATAAGAAATAATATATTGTGTGTTATTATAATGATTATAAATTATTATTAAATTCCATAATTGATGGGTATGGTTTTCATTTCAGATGCTTCAATCAATCTATCTATCTATCTATCTATCTATCTATCTATCTATCTATATATATATATATATATATATATATATATAATTTTATTTTGCAAATATGATTTATTCTAAAGCAATATTCTCATCAGTTTTCTATCAGCTGTGACATATACATTTTATATTTTATCCAAGGGCATTTTTTTAACCTTTATAGAGGGCATTTTCCCACTAATCTCATTAATATTTTCATTTCAAATTCTTACATTTGATCTATAAATTCAATTATAATAATGTGATTATCTATATATTATCAAATTTAATCATTTACACTGAAAAATACAACTGCATTAAACAATATTATGAGATTATTTTAAACATTTTTGAATTTACAAGCAAGAAATGATGGTGGAAATTATACTTTTCAACGAAATTAAAACACCAGTAGTGAGCGTTTAATGAGTGAGTGATTGAGTCATTCATTCAAACGATTTGTTCAAATGGCAGATGTTTATGCATGGGCTAATGAAACTTTGAAGCAACCGATTCGTTCAAAACACGGAATCAATCAACAATGAATCGGCTGGTTGCTGTGAGATGCGCTGTGTTTCCGCCTAAAATGTATGTGACATAATATTATTGTGTTTGCTTATTGAACTGTTTATAGAACTATGAAACAGTCGTAATGGTGAAAACGTTGTGTGATGTTGCCTAACTAACTGTATTTTAAATATAAACACTTTTTTTAATTTTTACCTTAGGATGCTGAGTTTCTTAGTGTTGCGTGTTTTGATTTCTCCTGAGAGGCTGCGTGAGCCTCGCCTCAGCAGCGTAACCTTATTCCGTCAATAGATGCATTATATACAGTAGCTATATCCACTATTCACCACTTACTCTAAATGTAATAAAATCAGAATAATACTTGCGTTTTGGTGTTTACATAGTTATTTTTAGTTACTGATGTTTTAATCACGTTACTTGTCTGGCGTTAATGTCGAGTCCTGGAGTCTATGTGCCGGGGCTTAGCCCCGGATGGCCCCGTCCCAATTAAAACCCTGTATATATATGTTTGTGTATGTACAGTGGGTACCTGAATACTTTCCGTACCCACTGTATGTATATGTATATGTATATATTAGGCATTAACTGTTTTCAACATATTAAGTAGAAATGTTTCTTAGGCAGCAAATCAGCATATTAAAATGATTTGTGAAGGGTCATGTGACACTGAAGACTGGAGTAATGATGCTGAAAATTCAGCTTTGCATCACCTAATATATTACATTTTAAACCATGTTAAAATAGAAAAAACATTTATTTTAAATTGCAATAACATTTTACATAATTGCTGTATTTTTGATTGAATGAATAAATAAATAAACTTTTGATCAGTGGTGTAATATATTTTGAAAACTTCATTCCGGTATCTGTACTGCAGACTGATTTGGTTGAATCAATGTAATCTGGATATAAAGATGTTGAGAATCCATTGTAAAATAATAATGGCACTCACCTTCTGTTTTTTCCTCAGGCATGACAGTGTGGCAGAGTGCCAGCAGACGGAAGAAGGCCTGGACCTCTGGAGAGCCAGACTTTACCGCTTCCTCCAGCTTGTGGTCATGGAAACAGAACTTTGGGTCGGCAAGAGAGTTCCAGGAGAAATCGACCTTCTCTGTCTTCTATAAATGAGGAAGAACATAAGAATGAGGAAGGAAAATAGATGTTTTTAATTCCTAGGGGAGACTAGACTTTTTTCACTTCAGTGAATATTTGTGAGATATACTGAATACGGAAAAAAAGCAAACATTACTACTGTTAAAGTTCAACATACAAAACCACTTCTAGAGAAAATATGCATTTGTATAATACAGTTTTTGACTTCTCTTAGAGACTGTGACATATTCTTTGGGACACCAACCCTGGACTTCCCTATAGCTTTTAAGTTATATATTGTCAATGTTTCGACCACTAACCTCAGTAACTTCAACCCTCTGCCCAGCAAAATCCACAACCTCACCTGAGGAACATAAAGACAGTTCAGTTCTACCCTTTAGTTGAAATTGTTGAATATGTGACAACTCTTTGAGCTCTTACCATATGATTTTCCATTGACGGAGCACCTGTTGAAGGTCATGATGTTCTGGGTTAAAGTTCCCGTCTTATCAGAAAATATATATTTGATCTGACCCAGCTCTTCATTGAGAGTGGTCGTCCTGGCCTGGGCTGGTGTGTCACTCTTGACGTGGTACATTTTACGGTCCCAGTCAATAAAATAGCTGTTCCCCAGACGAAGGATCTCAACACTTGAAAGGGCAAAAAAGTTCACTAGCATTTTTTTTCTTTTCTTTTATTACAAATTATAATATCAGCATAATAATTTGAAAGATTTAACCAGAAAAAGCATTTTAATAGAATTTGGTTGTCCTTAAATATCTCTTCTTCATTATGCGCCATAACTTATTTTGTTTTACAAAAAAAAGAAAAATGAATAAAAATATTTTAAAGATAAAAAGAAAGAAAACTGATTTTTATGTCGACATCTTAGATGTTTTCGCCACACTGTATGTCATTACAATGGAGTAAACAACATCTGCTGAGATGTTTTTTTAAAGGGATAGTTCACCCAAAAATTCTGTCATCATTTACTCCTTCACATGTGTATAATTTGGAGAATGTTGGTAACCAAACAGTTTTGGTTCCCATCGTTTTCCATTTCATTTTTGTCCCTCTAGTAGAAATCAATGGGAACCTAAACTGTTACCAGCATTCTTCAAAATATCCTCTTTTATGCTCAACAGAAGAAAGAAAGTCATACAGGTTTGGAATGATATGATGGTGAGTAAATAATGGCAGAATTTTCATTGTGGGGTGAACTAACTCCAGGTATTGAAAATAAATGTAAATTATAACCATATAACTTTCATTTAAGTTAATATAAGTTCTGACCTGACATAGAGAGAGATGGGAACTACAGTGTTGAGGATGATGACGTAGGACCAGAAGGTGAGAAATGCTGAGAGAGATGCATTCGCTCCATCAGCCCTGGGTAGGAAGCTAATGAAGGAATTCCCTTCCTGGTATTCCCAAATGCCATTCCCAATGGACAAGATGGTGCACATGAAGGCCAGAAAACCAAAAATCTAACAAACAAATGCGTATGATGTGAAATTAATTGTGTCGCTCAAACATTTTTGTGAACATTTATTACACGCATCTACTTACAAACATCACCAAGAAATTCATGAGATGGTCAATGCTGGTTCTCTTGAAGATGGATTTGCCCGAGTTCTGCATGAGCTTTGTGTCAGGACCTAACCGGATTTGGACAGAGCTTTTAAATATATAAAACTTAAATATAGACTTCATACACCCATTTTTAGTTTATGATTTCGCACCTCCAAACACCACCAGGCCGAAGCACCAGTCTGAGTTTCTGAGGGTACATCCTCTGAGCAGAATCCTCTCATTATCCAGAGAAAACGTCTCTCCTCCCACCGTCAGAGTTCCTGTGAACTTATCCAACCGGTTGTTTGGAGGCTCACAGCGCACCTCACCTGAGATATACAATATTGATATAGTGTATTTAATAAGGGTTCTACACAGCAGGGATGCTTTTGTACAATTCACTCTTAGTAATGCCCTAGCAACCACTCAGAACACCTTAGAAACCACTTAGGAATGCCCTGGCAACCTGCTATAGTGCAGATTCTTTGCAGGTCCATTATGTGCATCTGTCCCTCACCTTTGAATGCTGCTAGTTTCTGGATGTCATTGCCCAGGTCTCCTGTGATTGTCAGAGCCTGTTTCACCTTCAGGTTGGTCTCCCTGTGGCAGACAGGAAAAGAGAGACAGATGATGGCTCTGAATCCATGTATCATTCGATCATTCGTTTTTTATTTAATATTGAAAGTAGAAAAATTTTAAAACTGATCCTTTTTCGTTTTTTTCCAAAAAACGAAAAACGAGAATTCAGCTTAAATTTTCATTTTTCGTTCATGGGTGGAAAAATGAATAAACAGCTTGAATATTGGATTTCTACATGTGGGCAGGAATTAAATGCCCCTTTCTGCTGATTGGTCAGCCGAAGATCAAACCGTGCCTTCATCAGTTCTTCCGCAGTATCATGCAGCAGAATAATAGTCCTCCACTGCTGCAGTTGTATGGATTCTTAACACATTTATTGCAACTACATTTAATCTTTTTTCATCAAACAAACAGGCTAATGAATAGCTCGACACAACTCATACCGGGGCAGAGTCTAGACAGGGCTTTCTTCTGTGTACATATACTGTAAATTTTATTCTTTGCATCAGCTGGCATGGCAGGGTATGACATGACAGCTGTCATAGCCTACCCTGCTCACCCAGTAAGTCTGTTTGTTTAATTAAGAAATTAATTAATTTGTTTCAAAATAAATATTTTAAACACTAAGAAAGAAAGGAAACAATAATAAATTGGTTTGGGTATATATAGGCCTATGTTGCAAGAACTGTCATTTTGACTGACAACCAGAGAACAACAGATATTAAATAGCCTACTGTTAGAGTTATATAATGTAATCTTGTGTTTTATTAAAATTGATTATAATTGATATCTCAAAAGGATATGCACTTGTGCGCAGCGTGAGCTGCCACGCAAGATTTTCATAAAATATAATAACTTGCCATTTCGTTTTTTTTCTCACCAAACCCTCAGTTCAGATGCATAAGATTATTTTATGACAGATATGTATCCGCTTAAAAAAAAATAAAATAAAAAAAAATAAAGTCACCATTCTCTGCCATTAAATTGGCAAGCCCGAGCAGGACATTGCGATGTTGCGAAATTGCGATGGGTTAAATAAACTCAATAAGCAGACAGACTACAGTCAAGCGCAGACCAGTATTGAAGTGCACAGGAAATAAGCAGCAGTCATATTTAAAGCAGTTTAAATTAATATTGAGTACTGATTGATGTTCACTTGGATTTTTCCCCCATCGAGGGAACTTAATACTCTGTCATTAGACGAGCTATTCATTAGCCTGTTTGATGAGAAAAATATGAAATTGATCAAATGGGTTATTAATCCATACAACTGCAGCAGCGGAGGACTATTATTCTGCTGCGTGATACTGCAGAAGAACTGATGATGGCACGGTTTGATCTTCGGCTGACCAATCAGCATTTAATTCCCGCCCACATGTAGAAATCAAATATTCAAACTGTTTATTCATTTTTCCACCCATGAACAAAAAACGAAAATTTAAGCTGAATTCTCGCTTTTTGTTTTTTGGAAAAAAACAAAAAAACGAAAAAGGATCAGTTTTCAAATTTCTTCAAATTCCTAAACTTTCAATATTAAATCAAAAAACGAATGATCGAATGATACACGGATGGCTCTGGTACACAATATTAACAGATGAACAGGTTCATGTTTACATGCTCGGTTACTAACCCGTCCAGCTCAGCCGTCTCAATATAGATGAGGTTGAGAGGTTCACTGCTAGAGAGTAACAACAGATCAGCCTAGAGCACAGGAAGAAAAAAATAGAGATAAGTTAGTTTCTAAATTCTAATGATTTCCTGTAAAAACAAATTGTGCCTTTTTATTGTTTGAGTCACTTATCGAAAGTTGCTAAAAGTTGCCAAATTAATTAGAAAAATAGCTAAATATGATGCTAGGTGCTTTTGGAAGAAAAAGTTGCTAGGGTAGTCTGAAAAGTTGCTAAATTTAGCAACAAAATTGCTAAGTTGGCAACACTGATTGCAGTAATTCCTGTGTGCTGTATAGGTACTGTATATAATAATTTCTGTTATTACAGTTAACTGTGCGAAGTGATATGGAAATGTAATGCGGTCAAGAGTGCTGCCTGGAATTACGTTCGCCGTGTGTTTCCCTGAAAATAATTGCACACCTCAGAACGTTCGTCAGCCAATCAGATTCAAGCATCCAATGGCCCCCCGTAGTATAATTATTATTAGTAGTAGTAGTAGTAGTATTAATACTTTTATTATTTGTGCAAAAAGTTTTTCTTTTATTTTTAAATTTTTACAGCAGAGTTCCGGCAATGTTATTTTAGAATTATGAATATATTATAATATTTATAAATATGTTTTAATTTTAGTTTCAGCTTGAGCAATTCTGCTTTAGTAATTTTCATTCATTTAAAAAAAAAATCTATTTTATATCTTTTTATTTCAATTATAGTTTAGTAATTCAACTTAAAAAAAAAACTTGTATATTTTTGTGACCCTACAGTTAAGTGAATGAATTCGCTGTCGTAATTACAGCAGATCGCTGTACACGTTCATTTGTTTCTGCCTTGAAACACTTGTCTAGTGTTACGCAGTGGAGTAGAGTGTAATACTATCAATACAATAGACTTACTGTGACAAACTCATTGTTTTCCAGCTTGACAATGTCACCCACTTGAACATTCATCCATTTTTCACTCTTCAACCTGTTTGAGACCATGACTTTTTATTTAGCAAAAATTCATTTTGGAAAATGCATTTGGTTAAAACAAACAAACAAAAAAAGATTAAAGTAGCATAGTAGAGTCGGACACTTACTCTCCATTAATGAGCACTTCTACTTTTCTGTTGTTCACTTGTTTGTCATTTTTGTGTCTGGTCTGTGTTGTAGGATGAACATGGGAACGCAAGGCAACAGAGAGACCATAAGAATGGACAGTCAAGCACGTTATTGTCTGCATTGGACATAGACAGGAAGCGGACTCACGATGTCGTCAGAGAGATCTTTGGCTAGGGTCATAGACAACACCAGCAGCAGCGGAACTACAGTCGTGAACCAGGACAGAGACGAGATCTGAGGAATCAGCTGTGCAACACAAACACGGTGAAGCCTGTTCGAACTTTTCTTACTCATATATGCTTTTGTAATTTCAGAGCAACCTTTTAAACTGCTGTAATAATGTGGTAATCTAATTGAGGTGGATTCAACAGGTTAAGATACCTGTAAGATGAGAAGAAAGACAAAGTAGGCATTGGCCAGTCTTTGAAACTGCTCAAACAGATTGAGAGGGAGGAAGGTGAAGACGTTGTACTTGGAGGTCTTGATGTGTATGTTAGACCAGTTTATGTGTTTATGTAGTATGTTAGACTAGTTTAAGTGTTTGTGTAGTTAATAAAACCTTACTTGTATCACACTTGACGTGTTCATTGTTTACTCATAACCGGAGTCAATAATCATGCAGATTTACGTTACAAGCTTATAGAATTGTACAGTAAGAAAGTTATTTCCCTTAACCAGGAAATTAACGTTCTTAGAATTGACAAGACAGTTGACCCTGAGTGGTCAGCTAAATATCTACAGTGGATCTAAAATATGAATAGTTAATTATAACTAGTTATGGTTAATTATTCATATTTCCCCATGAGCTGATTCTCTACAGAACCTTAGCTCAGTGTGTCAAAGCATGTGCGCAAACCACTAGGCCACGACGTTATCCTGTGTAGTGTGACACTGAAAGGAATAGTTCACCCAGAAATAAAAACAGTGTCATTTACCCTAATTACGTTTTTAACCTGTATGGTCTGTGCATCACAAAAGAAGATAGTTAAGTAGGATGTTCATGCTGCTCTTTCTTTTCCATATAATGCAGGTAAATCGGGGCAGATGCTAAAATAAGGACAAAAAGCACTATAAAAGCTCATAAAAGTAATTCATATTGGTCGTGCGCTATATGTAACGTCTTCTCAAGTCTGTGTGAAAAAAAATATTTTTTTTTTTCCAATGAATTTTGCTGTGCTTCCACATACTGAAATCAAATTTGAGAGCGAAAGTGTATTTGTGATATAGTGTTTCAGTGAATAATGATTAAAATAAACTTAAAAAAATTTTTTCCTTCATAAAATAACAATCAAACCAGCTTAAAACATTAGTTTAAGAGACTTTATGTATAAATTCATTTGTTGGAGTGTGCACACAAACATTTTAATAATACATTTTTCCTTGTCAGTGACTGTGTACAATATCAATATAACTTCAAAAATGTCCATAAATGCCAGTATTCATTGTCAGTACTGTTACAAGAGTTTAAAAAAAAGTGAGAACTTTCACAAGTTGGCACGAGGAATGTGTATATTACAAAGAGTGACAATTCCCTCCTAAAATACAGTCCCAAACACTGCTGGCCTAATTAACGGTAACAGTTTATAAAGTGACAGAGTTAGAAGTGAGAAATGTACAGAAATAAATAACAGGTTCAACAGTCACGATAATTGGCAATATCAACATACATTTTACATATTGGCAGTGTTTTGTGAAAAATACAATATTTTTACATTGAAATTTGAATTAACAAGGTGAGGCTTTTGCACAGGCAACAAATGATGGGGAAAATTGTAGTGTTACTGTCTTTTTCCTCTTTGTTTTTGCAGTTGTTTCTGGAAAAACAAAGCACAGCAGTATAAAATTCCTCAAAAAGAACAATTAAAGAAAATAAATCAGCCATTTAAAACGAAGAAACGGAGTAACAACAAGACTTCTCAGAAAAAAAGAATCATTTTTACTTAAAAGGAAAAAAGAAAAAGTTAAAATCATTTAAATAGAAAATATCAGAACAAATAATATAAGGCCGCTTTGAAATGAAAAAAAAACATCTACTCCTCTTTAATTGATCAGTTATCATATTTGAGCTTGATCTGTTATTTGTTAACGTTCATATTTTCTCTCCCAGCTGATGCTGATTTTTCAGCGCTTTTCACTACATAAAGTATTGAAAGATATTACATGACACCCCATTAAAGCATTCAAACATTTTAGCTTCAATACTGTCAGATGATGCTGCATTGTCCTTTGGTGTGGGTGATGAAGCAGGTGTAAATGTGAACGAGATTATTGCTGCCACCTACTGGTCACAGATGATGGCTGAAGTACGTTGGCTTTTGAAATGAATGGTCATTTTTTCTGATTCATTCATGCAACAAATCACTCCACAACACTGAGAGAATGAGACCTGGCCCCCAGGACACAAACACTGTCTCAGGAGTCACAACATTCATAACAATCATAATCATTACATTTCAACTTGACACATTCACAGCATCAAAAAAATAAGGCAATAAACACATGGCAAAAGGGGTGTTTACAGAGAAAAAGTGCACGAACGGATGTGGAATCTGTGTATTCTACAACAGACGCTTCTAAAATAATGACCCAGCACACTCACAGTGCCATCTACTGGTCGGAGGTCGAAGAACCTCAAGTCAGGGATTGACACCATTTTTTTTCTTCTTGCAAACATGTTTGTAAGGGATAGACATGTCTGGTCTTATTTTTTGCAATGATTATTAAATTTAATATGAGGCAATTCATAAAAAAAATTCAGGGTCAAAGTTATGTCTATGTCAGGTCAAAGTGCATGTCTATCCTTCACAGTCTCGTTTCATTCACGTCAAAAAAAACATGGTGTCTACCTTAACTAGTCCTTTGCTAGTTTGTTAGTGGCTGAATGTGTGAGTGTGTTTTTTATATCAATATATGGAAAAAATATTGTGTTCAATCTGTTTATGTGGATGACTCCCCCCTCATCCACTGCTAAACTAACAGTGCTCTTTATAAAACTTGTCACATGGCCTCTCTTGTGCTGCTGAAAGCCCTTCTCTCGTAGGCGTCAGTGGGCAGCAAAAACATTGATGTGGACACAAAAAGGTGACAGTGCTGATGTCCCTCAGACACTTAAGAGTCTCAGATTGTCTTCTGCTGTGAAGGAACGTCCTCACCTCCCCTCCTCGGCCGATCGGGTCTCAGACTTCAGTTTCACAAACTCTTTGGCCACCTCGTCACCCGAGCGCTGGGAGAGGATGCGCATGACGGTGAGGCCCGTGTCATCAATGTGTATCCGCGGGCCCAGTGGACACCAGCAGGCGCAGCTGGCCCTCGGCGCGACATCACACAACTGTATGACGGCGATACCGACCACACGGTCTGCGCGGCCGAAGCAATAGTCCTTCACACACACCTGAAGCTCATAACACTCCGGCCCATCCTCATTCCCAAGAATACTGCACACACACACACACACACACAGAGAGAGAGAGGTGGTTTAAGTACTATTCGCTAGTAGTTATTTTCTCATTGCTCTTTAAACATCTTGAATGCAGAGATGCCGTAATAATGCATATTAAAATTCTGACTCATACAGACCATATATCATCTATCAATACCTACCTATCTATATATCTGACTATCTATCCATTGGGGGAAGTCGTGGCCTAATGGTTAGAGAGTCGGACTCGTAACCCAAAAAATGGCTGCCCACTGCTCCGGGTGTGTGTTCACAGTGTGTGTGTTCACTGCTGTGTGTGTGCACTTTGGATGGGATAAATGCAGAGCACTAATTCCGATTATGGGTCACCATACTTGGCCACATGTCACGTCACTTTCATTCATCTACCTGTCTATCCATCCATCTTCCTATCTATCCATCTATCCATTAATCTACCCAATCTATCATCCATCTTCCTATCTATCCATCTACCTACCCATCTACCATCCATCCACCTAAAATACCATTTCTTTATTTTAAGTTTGGATAAAAATATGGCGTGGAGATTGTGAGATTCATCACACTAGAGCACAAATAAACCCAAAACACATTTAAGAACGGATCTGGAGAAGGGGACTGTGGTTATTTGTGAGAGGGTTTTTGGGTCTCATGGAGTCTGTGGTGACCTACCCCTGGACGGCTGTATTTTCTCACTAGGTGTTATCCTCATACCCTTCCCATTATGCACTTAAGGCAGAGACAGATGCAGAATAGCATTGGAAGAGACAAAGTTCAAAAGAAACACATTAAAAACAAGACCGAATAGTAACAACAACAGCAGAGAAACATGGACAGTAGACACATTAAGCAGTAAGAGACAGATAAAGCTTGAAGAAGAGATAACATTTCAGTACAATAACTACACAAATAAATCCACAGCTCAATACTGACACCTAGTGTATTGTTTTACAAACTCATCTCTAGAAGATCAAACAATATGAACTAAAGAAATTAGAAAAGGAAATCATAAATTATATGGAAGAAAAAGTCTTTGTTTCACAAAAGAAAGAAAGTCATACAGGTTTAGAACAACATAAGTAGTAAATAATGATTAAATTGTCATACTATTCCTTAATATTGATGTTATCAAGTCTGTCATATGTATAAAATAGTGTGGATGTGTCACTAGATGTGTGTGTGTTCACCTTGAGCATGCTGAGTAGTTACAAACGTCTTGATGAGCGTGTCGGTGGTCTGGGTATAGAGGGACAGCGCGTGTCTCAGCGAGGACAGTTCAGGACTCTTCTCCAGGAAGGCCTTCTTCAAACCATTTCCTCCAGCGTGGAAGTATTGCTGCAGAGGATAGCGATTAATCAAATATTCATTCTGTACAAACCACTGCTTTTCAAACAACATGGAAATCTATTGGTGCTTTGAAAGAAAATATAATTTATACCTTTATGGTTTCGAGGGCCACGTCCATGACCGCACACTGCTTGGGAGTCAAGCTTTTAGCTTCACCAGACATGTGATCCTGCAGAGCCAAATAATATTAAAAACCCATAAAATTGACAAAATGACCTCTAACACAAATCAAAATCAATGGGTCTGGACACTGAACGGATGTCATTGACTTGTAAATATAAGCGATGATGTGTTAATGTTTTTGGATTTCTGACACCAGTAACCCATGGAAACTTGTTTCCACTTCAGAGTAAAAAAAAATAAAAAAAACTGGGTAACCTAAAGAGATTGTTTAAATAAGAATTAAGAAATGAGGTTGCATGTGATGTAAACTCACGTTATTGCATCTAAAATCGCAATTTCAAGAAGAAAGTCACAATTAAAAGGAAAAAAGTCACAATTATGAAAAATAAAGTTGCAATTGTGAGATATAAAATCACACTTACAAGATATAATGTTGCAATTTGCAAAATATTAAGTCACTATTTGGTCATTTAAATCAGAAATTCAAGAAATACAGCTAAAAATTACAAGAAAAAAAATCTACTTTTGTCAATTTTTTTTTTTTTACAAATAGTCTAAAAGAATAGTCATCCATAAAAATCCAAATATTTTTAAATGAAAAAGAAATGTAATTGGCTGGATGGAAGTTTTGAGTTCTGAAAGTAACAGCAAGCTTTCTTCCCATTACAATAAACTATTTTTTTCATGATCTGTCTCCTTTTAACATTGGAATGGTGTGCAGTGCAGCAAAAAAACTTTTTTTTACAGAAAAGGTTTGCTGGGATATTCTGTTTACACACTCAAGCACACAATATTAAGCATGTGTTGAGGTTACAGAAACATGTCGAAAGCATTTATATTGAGGCTCTTCATCTGTACTCTCTTGCTGAGCTCTGAGCTGGTTTAAAGAGATCATAGTCTGGATTAAACAAGCCTGGAGCGCTACCTTGAGTTTGGAGAGCTGACTCAGTTCTTTAGCCGCTGAAAAGATCATTCCCTGCCAGGAAGAGATAAAAGCGTTACAGCGTTTTACATGTTTACACATAAACATTAGATGATTAATTACAACACATGTTCAAATACTTCATGTATTTCTTACAGGAAACATTCAAAAGGTTCCAGGCAAAAAATTTACTGGCTTTTAAAATGAAGCCTTTAGGGGCCAAATAACATTTTTTTTAGAAACCAAATAATACAATGTAAAAGCATTTTAAGCAGTTTTATCTGAAAAAATGACAATGTATTTAGGATCTAGTCATACAGGTCTTCCAAAAGTGTCATTGCCCTGAGGAAGGATGATGGTCTTCTCGAGACTGTTCATCACAATCCTCCACAGCTCCTTCAGCACTCGCTTCAGCACGGTTTTCTCACACACTGAGGCAAACAGCATCAGACTGCTCGCAAACACACACACACACACACACACACGCACAGAGATCAGGACAGGCTTCAGGTACAGTAATAATGGTTTCTGTACAGGTGAGGAGAGTTTTGCTCACTTTGCATCCAGGAAGTCCATCAGTGGCCGCAGCATGTTATCAGAGTCGGCCTCCACCTGGTTACGTGTGTTGGCGTTCACTGGACCCTTGATCTGGTACAGCAGACTGGCCATCTGACGCATGCAGTCATCAATGCGGCTCTGGAAACTACAGAGGAACATCAAAGTTCAGCATGAAGAATGAACATGCTAGACTGACGTAAGAGGGGTTGTGCAAAAGTGTGAAATTAATGTCATTTTTTTCCTTTTAGATTAATATAAGAGATTTTAATCTTTACTCAACAGAGAAATCTTGAGATATGACGCAGGCCAGACTAAAAACTACATTAATTTCAAGAGCACCAAAGCTACAGTACATAATGATGACCCACTGTACATATGTTTAACTGAGTGCTGTTATTTGCAAAACTGGAAGTGTTTAAAATCATGAGTGGGCAAGTCTAATGAAACCTGTCAAGAAATTATCATTTGTATAAAGAAAATAAAGCCTATTTGTCTAAGTGAGATTTCTACATAGTGTTTGTTTTCATTTCAGCTAAGCATCCTGTCTGATTCTCATATCTATAATGTAAAAAAAAAAAATAATAATAATAATATTAAATTGATTATATTATACTTATTCATTTCTTTAGTATTTATATCAGTGTGTTTTTTTCTTTACACAATAAAAACACTTTTTTACAGTAATGAGAATCATCACCGGGAACAATGCAAATAACAATGCAAACACAAATAATATTTTCATTAAGCAGATGTTTCCAATTATCATTAATATAATGCAAAAAAAAAAAAATAGTGTGAAGTGTTTTCTGTAAAAATCACAAATATCACAAATATGCCAGTATTTTTGTGTTGCCTTTGATTTATTCTGAATATATTGAATTAATATTAATTTAATATATTTAGTATCAATTAAAGACAGCACAAGAAATATTGACAATTATACACCACATTTTTTACTGTATTTTCAAAGCATAAATTCAGAAATTAATAATTATGCTGAATTTATGCTTTAAAAATGCAGTAAAAATATTGTGCTACAAAATTGAAAACTATGAATAATTTTAAAAAATAAAGTAAAAGTCTGGACACTTTGGAGAAAAGAGAAATCAGGGAAATGTGCTTGAAAGAAATATCAGAAAATAATGTAAAAATCTAAATGTTCCTAAATAAGGCGGCTTAATTTCCTTTATGCAAAATATAATTTCATAATGTTTTGTTTTGGTTTTTTAATCTGTATATTTTTCTGCGATTAACCCATATGCATATGATCTCTAAACACTGACGTGTTTCCAAAGGTGCTGCTCAGCTCGTCCAAGACGTTGTTCAGCTTGACCTGGAGATCGTTCAGGATGTCACTGGCCTCTGTGTCCAGCTGCAGAATGACAAACACACACACACAAACAGCTCTGATTAGATCAGTGGCCCTCCACCATCCCATTATTTCAACAAAAATCACTTCACCCGGTGCACAAACACCATCTTCATAACACCAATGTGATGGTATAACAGTTCAGAGAGGGTGAAAAATACCATGGTTTATGGTGATGGGGCAAAACAGCCTGTAAAATTCACACAGACCCAATTACAGGAGGGGGGGGGGAAATAAAGAAAGACCGAACTGGAGTCCTCTACTGTATAAGGGCTCCGTTTATGAGCTCTCAAACACACACATGTACTGTATAACCGCACAGTTTGCATAACCCACCTGTTTACTGCTGACCGCCACCTTCAGAAAGAGCAAAGTAAAGGAATGTTTAATTTTTAGTTATTTCAACCCCGTAAAATTAACTAGACTAATTAAGAGCAGGACTGAGGGAGGGAGGAGCTATGGGTTTAGTTATTCTGCTATACTAGAGAATATTAGTAGCATATAAATATAAAAAATGTATTAATTAATTAATTAATAATAATTAAAAAAAATTATATAT